CCCCAAAACCCCAAAACCCCAAAACCCCATATAGTTGTGCTGTTACTGAGGAATAAAAATTATTTAATTATAGAGAGATGGTCTTTGATACTAGAATTATGATTTGATCCTTGGTCCTTTTGATAGAAATCTATCTTCTCTTTCTTCTTTGCCTTTGTCTTGTTGTCTTGTTTATTGGAATGTCTAACTTCTGCAACTGAAAAAGCTCTATCAATCGAGACTTTAGGAAGGTCTCATGGGTCCATATGTTTCTGAAGATCTTTGCATAGACGATCAAATTGGCTTTTATTAATCTGTTTTAAGTCTTTAAGACAAGGATCTCCATCGTTCTTATTCATATCTCCTTGGTAGTTGTTTCATATCTTGAGTTCTTTAAGAGGGAGAAGCTAAAATTTATAAATAAGGATGTACTCTCTCTATTACATCAAATTCTTCGCGATAAGTTGATATATCTTTCAGGTAAAATTCTTTAACTACACATCAGAGATTAGAAGTTACAGTTTAGTTTGACAATTCCTTGGTCTAGGAAAGATCATTTCGTTACCGATATATGTTTTAAATTCCTTGCAGCCTTTAAAATCAAATTAACTTGTGCTGTATGCAACTGGAAATGACTGATAGAGATACTCTTCTTCACTTTAGTCTCAATAAACTGACTTAAGTATTTTCAAAATACTGGAGTTAGCTTGGGATATAACTCTCTGTCTGTCAGATTTAGCCTAAACAATGAAATATTTGGTTACATCAAGTTTTCTACACTTGTGATGAAAGGATTCCTGAATATTTTAATAATTTCTCTAATTCCAAAACTTCAAAAAGAGATTTCGATAGTATTGATTTTACCAGAATGATCTTCGGTAAGTTTCTGGAAATTATCAATGCTCTCTTGTTGCTCCTTTGATGTCTTAATATGCTTTTCTGCAAAGTCAGATTCCTCTTGTCTTCTTTCCCAAAGCAACTGACAATTGATAAAAAATGAAGGTTGCTCAGTTTTACTTCTAAAATATTCAGTGTGTAAGCTAAAATCTTTTCTGTGGAATGAATGAAGACATATTCAATTCTAAGTAATCTGAAATCCTTCTTTCTCAGCCACACATTTTCTCTAAATCAACCGAGTACTTTCTTTTCGCATCAAAATATGAATCTGCATACTCGTGTTTTAAGTCTAGAACATTGGGATAGTGCTCTCTAATCTGATCTTGTGTTGTAAAAGCCTCCTGAAGAGATTGAAGACTCCAAACAAGATCGATACTTTTATTTTTAAGTTCAAAGTACCTATGGAAGTGAGTATTAATTAGCTACTTTTGCTTTGATTCTTCTATAGTATTCTCATGAGATTCTTCAATTTCATAAAGTTCTTTCTGAAGATATGCTTGAGTCTTTACTTCTGAGTCCTTGGCTAACTTCTTAAACTTAGGATCCCGATTGATATTGATCAGCAATCGATTAACATCATCTATGATCTTTTTATATGTGCTTTGATTCTCAATAAAATTTCGGATCTTTTTACTCTGAATGTCTAAAGGTTCTCCTTTTGCCAGATAAACCTAAAATGGGAATTAATTCAGTGATTATATAGGAGTTTACCCTGTTCAGAATATTTTGATAGACCTATAACAGTTAAGAAAAGTATTATTACCCCATAAAACTGTTCTGATTGCTTCCAAACTGTTTCAATCTGTTCTCTCATATAAGGCTTTGTTCTCAAAATATGAGCCAAATATAGCTATCGATGGCAGTTAAGAATCTGATCAATTCGATGAGGATAGATGATGAAATTTGTAGTCGGAAATTTTTATAGTTATTAAATTCCAAAATTATAAAAACCTGAGTGAATAGCATGACTTACTTGTCTCTTAAAAATGGCTTTCCTTATCATCAAAAACCCTTGATTCAGTTGCTATAAATTATAATAGAACAAAGTGAGTTATAATATATAATTAAAATAGCAAATATTTACCTTTATAGGGTCTCAAAAGACTCCACTTTTTGCCATAGTCTCTATCTCAAGTTCTGGTTGAATTTTCTTCGCTCAAGATTTTCAAAAATACATTTTATGGTTCCACTCATCATTAGATGAATGCTCAAGAGGCATGATTGCCTTGACTACGATCGGCTTCTTATCTCACAGTTGACATAATTGTTTATTTTAAGATATTAACACATGTTGGGAAGAGTTCTCGAGCAGGAATTATCATGCTCTCTTCATTATCGATGTCAATATTATAGCCCCACTTTCATTGCTCGAGGAATCTTTTCTGCTCGTCCTTGAACCTTTAAAATTAGGTTTAATTGGCATTATTAAAAGAATTCGCAAGGTTGCCAAATTTTGAAAATTTTAGGAAAAACATTTTAAAGGTTCCGAGCTTTTAAAGGATTTTCAAGATCAAATTCATGGCTGGATCAGCCATATTTGTCAAGAACAGTTGGGAATGGTATACATTTCTTTAGAAGCGTCCGATAGGCTCTTTTTCATAAGAAAATATCGGAAAAAGTAGATCAAAAGTAAGTGCTTTAATAATACTCTATTTTATAGAAATTAAATCTCTTTTGGGCCTACCTCAGATCTCTTGCAAACTCAGAGTCTCCATACTTATCCATTTTCTATTAATTATTCTTCAGTCAACTTTATATAATCACTAAGGGGTTTTGGGGTTTTGGGGTTTTGGGGTTTTGGGGTTTTGGGG